GGTTTAGGTTTAGGGTTTAGGATTTTTGGGCTTCGGAAGCATCGAACACCCACGAAATTCCGTGCACCCTAAAGCCCCTAAACCTTTGACTTCATTTCCTGTCAATGTGCACAAACACCGCTACAACCCCCACCTCATACAGCGGCCATCTCTAAACTTAAACGCGAGTGCCCTCTCCTCAGGCTTTTCTTTGTCTGTCCAGCTTGCGACGAGAACCTTCAAGGTGGTCAAAAGGTCGGAAACGCGGGTCCCTCAGCAAGCTTGTATCCAAGAAGCAATCCAGGGGCAAGGTGCTGGCATGTAACTTTCCCCAAAGGACTTGCTGTACCTGTCCGACCCCCTCCTCATCACTATCCAATGACATTCAGACATCGCACCCAAATCCGAGAGCCCAATGATACCCCGTGCCTCCTTTGTCAACTTCCCATCGGCTGACCGCCTGGTCGTCGGAGGAGCATCCGCAGGATAAGGAGAGCTGATGACTATGACCACAATGACGAGGAGAAGCATGCGTAAGATGCTTGCCATGCCAATGAGGTTGTTGATTCTGGTGACTAGAGCGAAGGCAACGATGATGTTGCTAAGAGGTCACGATGCTGCGGGCCATGCTGATGGTGTGGTGGTGGCCGTGGTGGTTTGGGCGCTGGCGGTTGCAGCAGCAGTGGCCGTGGTAGCCGTAGTGCAGGTGGTTGCGGGTGACAGCGGCGGTGGGGCCCACCAGTCTATGATGCTGAGGATACTGACGACTGCGGCGAGGACGATCCAACTGACATTGGGTTCTGCAGCCCGCCAGTGTGAACACCTCCGAAGTCCTACAAGTCACTGTTTCCATCTGCATGTCAACAGTCGCGCCCAGCGATGACCATCACCACACCCGCTATACCGCTGGAAGGCAACCCTTCACCGTGAAGTCAAAGATCCCTGAAGCCAAACTTTCCAGGGCCGGGGAACTCTTTGAAGGCACTACGGAAGGCGTCGAAGTCCATCCCCTGCTCGGCCTGGTGCTGTTGGTCTGGTTTGGCCTTCTCTTTCTCTGTGGGGGCTCGGGCTTCGGGATTCCTGGAATGTTGGTGAAAAGCTTCGGGGGGCGTGAGGGTTTAGGGCCCATGGAACCTGCACAGTTCTGCTGCGTCGGTCTTGACGTCTTGACGTCCGCGGAAACTTGATTCACTGGTCCCATTGCTCTTCCACAAGAGAGAGCAACCTGAACCCTAAACACTCGAAGAAACACCATCAACCTGAAAGATCCCTAAACCCTATTTTGTCGTGACTGCTCTGGTCTTTACGCACAGCCTGAGCCTCCTGCGAGGTGGCGGTCCACCACTCGAATCGTGCGAGTCCGATTGGACTTTAAGTTCGTCTGCGTCATGTGCCTCGGAAGAGGCGGCTTGGACGAAGTACAGCAGTTGGGGTACTCAGGGTAAGGCTAGTGAGGGTAGCAGCGTATTGCAAGTAGAAGCGCGGCGCTATGCTACTCCTCCCTTCCATGCTGTGACCCCATCAGCAGCAGCTGCTCCACCACTATCAGCAATGTAAGTCGTCGGAATATGGACGTTCGAAATTATCGCCTCCCGGCCACTCTCGCAGTGTTAATCACAAGACCTGAAAACGAGGGCCATGCCCCAGGTCAATCTTGTAGTCCACGCCTGGGGAGTTGGATGGACGGTGCTTGGGGGTTGAGTTGAGGGTCAAGGCTCGGTTCAGAGGCTCCTACGAGGCTTAGCAACACTTGTGGACTACTTCGCGCCGCGATCTCCTCTCCATGGCCCATTGCTCCACCCTCCCTGAGTTCCCAGCCGCGCGCGCGGATGACAAACTGGGTCTCGCCCGCATCCTGCGAGCGAGACGTCCACAGGATAAGCAAGCATAACCCTGTACCTGCTGGTAGCACGACTAACAACGAAAAAGCATGCAGCCACAGTGATAGAAATTGGCGATGAGAACGATAAAGATGAACAAGATGAAAAATAAGACTAACCGGAGGAAGACCATGAACATGCTAAGACTCAGGCCGCTTATGGTCGCATCATGGGTGTCATCGTGCGGAGCCTTCTTGCGGACTATCGCATCGCTTTCCAAGCTGGCCAACCTCAGGGCTACTCCCGCAAAACGGAACAACAAGCGGGCTGCAGGGGTTGAGTGTCCCCTGCTTTCTGCACTCTGTCACTAAGTCTAGGCTTCCGCAGGGAAAGCAAACCAAAGTTCGACGGTAGCAAGGTCTCCTGCGACACCATGAAAATTCGGTGTCTCTGCCCGCAGAACCCCAAGGATGGGATAGTCTATACAGGCTTCCTCGGGGCAGGAGCTCTTGTTCGTCATGTTCGTCAAGCCCATGTGGGCCAAGCGAAGGCGAAACGAGAAATTCCAAAACCTCCATAAACACCACTTGCAACAGCAGGAGAATGCGGCTTTTTGCGACATGTAGCGACCGTGCAAGCGAAGAGAAACGTTAATCTTCGGTATCCTTCAGTCTCAACATCCGCATAGCAGTCCGCAGAGGATGCATGCAGCCTCCATCCTCAATCCTGAACCCTCAACCCTCAATCCTAAACCCTAAACTCCTAAATCCTACACCCTAAACCCTCAAATCCTAGACCCCTAAACCCTAAACTCCTAAACCCTGCACCCCAAGACCTGAACTCCGCAGAAACCCTAGCTCCAAGGTTGAAACCATGGGCCCCTAGTATGGGCGCTTAACCCTGGCATCCTTAGGGTGTTTAGGGTTTAGGGTTTATGCACCTACTATATACCCTACATGTGCCCTTAAGGGCCCCTAGAAAGGCCTAGTTCCCAGATGCGTGTTTTTTTGGTGACGTGAAGAACATGATCAACAACTACATTGCGACAGATCGTCTTTTGGAACCGGAGGAAATCATACGGAAAGAGACGGCTAACTGTCTCGCACACAAAAGGGGCTGCCACTTCGTGTTTCCGGAGAACGGCATGCTCTGTTTCGGCGCACCTTGTGTATTGTTCAGCTGGCTGGCATGCAGTTGACACATCTTGTCGGCCAAAGCGTTCTCGTTGTGCTTGCATGACAGTGGTCATGTCATGGTTATAACACACTGGAAGGATCGGCAAGCTCCAAAAAATTGACAATGTGGCGAAGGCACAATTGCACAGCGTGGCGACTGCTGCGATGATGAAGGTTGGCTCTACATGCCACGAGAATGGTGTGGGCTTTTGCGGGTTTAGGGTTTTAGGGTTTAGGGTTTAGGGTTTAGGGACCTTTTTTTTGCATTGGATCTGCGCCGGTGTCTAGCATTTAGGATTTAGGGGACGGTGAAGGTCTTAGGGCTGGCATTGCTTGGAAGGTGGGGAGAGGGGGGGTAGGATTTAGGGTTCAGAAGTTCCGGGTTTGGGCAATATAGGGATCGGCGTCTGTAGTTGCTAGATTTTGCTAGATAACTTTCGAGGCTCTGCTTGTGGGGCTGGATGAATTCAAGGTGCAGGGCTTAGTAGTACCCTAAACCCTAAACCCTAAACCGAAGTTGACTATTCAGCCGCATGTCCATCGCTAAGTGCTTGTGACCTGACGAGTGAACCCAATATACGGGCCTTACTGGTTAGAACAGGGTGTTGGGGTCCTTTCTAGTCTACTTACCACCCAAAAAAATAATATAGGTAATTATTGAGGCACATTTTTCACAGAAACTTGGCTTGGATCCTTCAGGGTTTATGAGTTGCAGCTTCGCGGCTATAATACCCTAGACAGCCCGTGTAAAACTCTGCTGTCAACTCTACACCCTCTCTGGTTTACCAGACCAAAACTCTATATAAGCCGTATAGAAACCCTATAAAAAGTCGTGTAAACCCTATGTTTTCCCCGTATAAATCCCTATAGAGACCGTCTGTGACAGGCTGCATTCGTCCTGAACGGCCGGCTTTGGTGGTCACGCCGCCGCAGGGCTGCATGTGCCAGCGTGATCAAGGAGTTTAGGATGAAGTCTATGACTCCCTCTAAGGTGTTCTTTTTGCAAGTGTCTAGGGTTACCTGAAGAGTTCATTCGAGGAATCCTGTTGAAGGATTCCTTGAAGGGTTCAACCCTAAACCCCAAACCCTAAACCCTGCACCCTGAACCCCGAACCCTGAACCCTGAACCCTGAACCCCGAACCCTGAACCCTAAACCCTGCACCCTGCACCCTGCACCCTGAACCCTGAACCCCCGAACCCTAAACCCTAAACCCTGCACCCTGAACCCTAAACCCTAAACCCTGCACCCTAAGGAGGGCCCCCCACGTTACACCCTAGACGTAGACCGTGAAAAAAGCTGAACCCTAAACCCTGCAACAAGAAAACGAAAATTGAACCCTAAACCATGAAGACCCCTAGACCCCAAACCCTAAACCCTAACTCCTAAATCCCTCAACCCTAAACCCTAAACCCGAAATCCCTAAACCCTAACCCCTAAATCTTTTAATCCCTAAACCCTAAATCCCTAAACCCTAAATCTGTTAAACCCTAAACCCTAAATCCCTCACCCCTAAGCCCTAAATCTGACATCCCTAAATCCCTAAACCCCAAACCTTGAATCCTAAGTCTTTTAAACCCTAAACCCTAACCTTAAACCCTAAATCCCCAAACGCTAAACCCGAGGTTCTCCGTTCTCAGTACGTGGGCTGCCGAGCTGAAGAACCTTTGCTGAAGCAACAGAGGGTCCTTTAAGGGATCTTAGGGTTTAGGGTCTTAGGGTTTTAGGGTCTTAGGGTTCCCTTAAGGGTCCTTTAAGGGAT